TTCCAGGAAACATTGCCTTCACCTTGGTATGCTCGGTAAGATAGAGCTGAAACTCTGCAGCCCCAACTGGACTTAGGCTATGATAAGTCCGATATGCGAAGCTGAGCCTCGCCCGGGCTATGGGGGAGCCCGGCCTGTGCCGACTAATGTCGACTCGCTAACAGTGTGTTAGCAGGTGCTGACTCGGATGAGCTTAGTCCTTACCCACCGTGGTGCCCAGCCACAGCAGTAACCTCCAGGCGACAATTGCAACTTCTCGCGCCTGGGCGGGGCGCGAACCGCCGACCCCTCGGATGAGAGGCCGACACGTTACCACTGTACTAGCCCAGAGGCTTTAGGCTATGAGCTGCGCTTTCTGTGATCTTTCCTCCTTATTTGTGACGTTACTGTTTGTGTCTACAGATTACCTCTTGTACCCATGACTTCAACTTTTTGTCCTCTACAAGAATATCATCTTCAATCTGCCCTAGCTTAGTACATCTTTGCCGTTATTCATTTATTAACTTTTTTTTTTATGATAATCAATTATCTATACTACAAGTATCCTGAGTTTGGAAATGGCTTCTTCCCTTGAGCTGGTGTTTTTACAGTTGTGGCTCACTGACAGTATATTCCACACTCATTTATCAATAGAAAAAGCCCCTTACTAAATGCCAAATGAGTCTAATAAACCTTTGAACTTTGTGCACTCATAGGAGTCATTCCCGTCACCCCGGCCTTCAGCCAAAATGCTCACAACAGCAAGTTTGTGTCCCCCAGCCCACAGCCAGATTTTCCAGTATGTTCATATTATTCACCCCTCAAGCTAAATTTTTTCATGGTGTGATGGTCACATTATCTAGATTGTAATAGTCACCCCATTCATGACAGGTACCTCTGGGTAAAAAACACCCTGTTACGGTGTGTTATCTTTAGCACAAATACCCGTGTGTGAGGCACACATGCCAGGCAACCTAGTCAGAGTGTAGGTGTCTTGCATATGAGGCAGCCGACTATTTCCCATGTTCTGGCTTTGTCTCCAGTGAGATTGTTTGGTTAAAAGATACGGTCAGTCCTAGATCCTTTCCCTTTTCCCTCAGTAGATGTATGGTCACATACAAATTATTATCATAGCAAGTCAGTAAAGCAACCTCATTCCTTGTTTTAATAATGAACATTTACTAATTCTCAATAGAAACAGGCTCATTGACAAGCTTGGAAATTATGGTATAAAATTGATAGATAGAAGTCTGTTCAAGCGTATGAGACTTGAAAATCATTACCATAAATAGATGTAGACTATTTACAAGAAAGGAAGTGTTGGTTGTGTAAGTAGCTGCACTCAAAGTACAACTAGCAAGTGCATCCTATGGTCACAGAAGATTTAACTTAACTTTGCACCAACAAATCAACAATGTCCTAAAAATACAAACTGCCACCGTGGTATGAACCAAAATCTCTTGTAACTTAGGCTCTTCATCCTCAGACACACTTCCTGATTGCCATGTTTCCCTATATGTCCTGAACCTCCCCAATCGACATCCAAACCCAGCTCCTTCCGAATCACACTTCTTAGCCAACTGCTTCATCCATTGATATATTCTATACATGTAAGAATGCAAATTAGGTTTACCTTATGTGAAGGGAAAGGTGGTAGTGAAAGGGATATACCTCTACAGCTGGCATTCGCTGCAGTACATTTTTGTCAGTTTCTTTGTATCAGTTCACTTCAACGGATTTATTTTAACCCATTGCCTCCAGGTGGCATGTACATACATTCCATGGCATAGCCTGAACTATATTCCAGGTGGCATGAGCATACATGACATGGTGTGCCGGTCCAGTTTTCCGGGGGCATGTATGGTCATGCCACGCACGTTATGGTGATGACACAATCCCCCGGCAGCAGGGCCTGGGCCACTATGAATACAACCTGGGAGAGAGGGCTTTCATGTTGGGAAATCACCGAGCGGCATTTTGTTCATATCAGTGAATGTAGTTTATCATTGACCACAAGACTATAATATCTGAATTTCTCTCATTTCTGTCCTTTTTGTACACTGTAACTATGTAGAGGTAGCTGGCACTGACAAAGTAAAGTTTTAATTGAAATAATGAAATTAAAAAGTGATTCTCACTCCCATTATCACATTTATTTATTTATTTTTTTATTTATTTATTTATTTTTTTTACAAACACCCAACATGCTACAGTGTTTTATCGCCTGAAATAGTTCTGGTTAATATGATATGATATAAGCTCTATGACTTTTCCAGGATATAGATCATATATCCACAAATATCCTTATTTTTTAAATATTTTTTGCTGAAAAGTTTCCAGTGCAAAATGAAAATAAGGAAGCTATTTATTATGTAAATAACCATTATAACAAGCAAGCCTTTGAAGTTATATTTTCTTTCATCAAGACTGTAATTGTTAAGTTATAACCTTGATTATATGAGGATTCCTTTATATTTCCATTTGTTTTAAAACTAAAAACAATGAAAAAGTTTTAAAGAAC